ACAACAATTATATCATCAGTAAAAGTGCTGTTTGTGTGTGAAAAATGCAAAAAAAGATCATCACTGTGATATTTTTTACTGTTTTGAATCACTAATATCTGTGTTCAGTGAAGTCTCCCGAGTAAAACAGTACCCCCCATGTACAGGTTTTAGGGTGTCGTAGAACGTTACATGGTAAAATACAGTGCTAGCAAATTAAATTCTCTGGACTTTTGGCCTGGGTTGGCAGGCAGGTCCCTCAAATTGCAATCAATAAAATTACTTAATTATGTAAAAATATTACATAAATACACACATAGAATTTAAATATATATGCATATTTATATATTTGAAGTCTACGTGTATATTTATATAATTATTTATGTAATTTTGTATATGAACGTATGTATATTTCTTATTATTTTTATTTATTTTTATATACATAGATATATATACAAATTCATTCTAAGTGTATTTTGATATAAATATATATATATTAATTTTAAAATACAGTTAGAATAAAATTTCATATAGCTATATAATTTTTTAAATTTTTTTTATTATTATTTAAAAAAATTTTTATTTAATTTAAATTACTTATTATTTATATTTTATAATAATATATATACAATATATAGTTATTATATATATTATATATATACGTGTGTAATTTAATTATAAGTGTATTTTATATTAATATAAGTACATATTAATATAAAAATACACTTAGTATGGCATTATATATATGATATATAGACATAGATATAATATATGTCTATATATCATATATACACATATATAATTATTTTATTTTTTTTAATTAACACTAACTTTATTTTTTTTTCTGATTTTACACTAGCAGGGAGACTGCCTGTCAGCACAGACAGTCCCCCTGCAGGCAGCACTATGGACACCTATTGTGACCATGTGTTCGCTGTGTTAAGCGATCACATGGCCACAGGGGTCCTAAATCAGTGTGGGGAGACTGTCTGGGCTGCAGGCAGTCTCCCCACAACCGGAGCCACGCTGATCGCCGCCGGGGGAACGACGGCGATCAGGTAAGTAGCTCTGACCGTTAGGACGGTTCAGGACCGTCATCGGTCGGCAATGCAAAAATGCCGATGACGGTCCTGAACCGTCCTCGGTCCTTAAGGTGTTAATCTAGTCATCATGCATTTATAAGATAGTGTTTGTTGTATATAGATTTATTCATAAAACAAACTGGAAAAAACTACTCCCATATTGATCAAACATTATTTTATCTCGAATTGGTTACAAATAATTATTTAAAGTGTGACTGTTTAAAAAAAAATATATTCTTTATTTATAAAATATATTTTATATGGTTGTAAAAGTGATATTCTTTTAAATTCTTACAAAAGTGAAACAATTTTAATTTGCAGAATTTAAATCTCACAGCCCGCTATGTCTTACACTTGATGTATCAGCTGTGAATCCTCAAATCCAATAAAATTCTCTTATTTATTTAACATTTAGAACAATTTAATTCCCTCTTAATATTAAGAACTAAGACTGTATCAACAAGGCTGTCTTTGCTTTTCTTGCACATTAGGTGCACACCCATTTCTTTTCCTGGAAGTAATAGTATACATGAACACATATGCGTGTGTGTACTTTTGCAAATACATTTTTTGGTATTAAAAACTAACAGAGGTTTTATAGCTTACATAAATGTTAGTGTGTGTTTAAAATCAGTGAGAGTGTGTGTCTGTCTTTGAGAGTGTGTCTGTCAGTGAATGTGTGTCTGTAAATGAGTGTGTTTCAAGTCAGTGAGATTGTGTGTCTGTGACTGATAGTGTGTGTCAGCGTCTCTGTCAGTCAGTGTGTCTGTCAATGAGTGTGTTTCAAAAAGTGAGATTGTGTGTCTGTCATTGAGAGTGTGTGTCAGTGTAGCACCCAGGCATCTGTGACCCTAAGACCCTCAATAGGTCTATAATTATTTGGGAAGCACAGTTTGCATTATACATTTCCACTCTTTGACATCCAATTTATCATAGAAGATACTGTATGAAAAATCTTGAAAATTAGCTGTAAGCCATTCCTGTTGTAAACTGCTCACCTGTTCACAGGTTTATTCAGAATATAATACCACAACCAAATTTACATATTTACAGAGATGGGGCCATCAATTAGAAAGATGTGTTCCGGACATTTGCACAAGCACTCAATAAGAAAGTACAACACATATTATGTGCACATAAAGAATGAAAAAAGTAATAACAGGAAACCCCTGCAGCAAATGCATATTTTATGATGCACACATCTGTTGTTCTGAGGGCAATGTTCTACATATTCACCAAGTCACACCACATAGTTTCCTTGATGACACTATCCATTGATGTGATTATTATGTTGTTTTGTGATAACTTTATGTAAGTGAGTTGAAAACGTATATTATCTGGACTATTTTGGACATATAAAACATTTCAGAACAACTACCAGGCACTCCCAGAATGTGCCAAAGGATGGTAAGCCTGGTGTACTACCAAATTATATCTGTGATGTAACAAATATGACCAGACTACCTTCTGTTGGATCAGTATAAGAAATTCTTTAAAGGGATTCAGTAGTGTTGGGAATACAAATCTGTATTCCTAACACTAGAGTGGCCTCTGGTTCTCCACTCCCTTGTCCCCTCCCCGCTGGCTTATAAATGGCTATAAAACCCATTAGTTGATTTTTGTGCCAATATTCCTATGTGCTGGGTAAACGCTCCGCCTCTTCTGTTACCATCCAACGGGGACTAATGCGCATGCGCCGCAAGCCCATTAAGCCATCTAAATAGGAATACATTGATGTAGCAGACCTCTAGTCCTGACAAGGACTTTTCTCTACTGGATCTGTGAAACAGGAACTCTGGAACAAGACACTGTGAAGTGAATAGCTCTATCCCTTCCCAGTAACTGGGAGTACAACTTAAATTTTTTCAGCAAAACTCAGCTTTTTATGCACAGACCTCCAGCATGGGGTCTCCATTCAACCCAACCCAATCCCCTTCCAAGCATCCCTGTGTCTGTGAGATAATTAAGTCAAAACCCAATAACTCAATTATCTCTCAGTTACAGGAAAATCACATAAACAAATACATAAAACACCCCAAAACCATAGTCATAATACACCTCACAAATCTTATATCCACGAATAGCCCGGATCTTCTCCATTTGGGTAAAGTTCTGACTGAGATGATAGCCCAAATTACTTCCAGAGGAAAAGGGGCAATGGCCAGTCCACTTTCGGGAGTTCCTGTGCGAACACCGACAAATGCTCCTCCTGGCTTTCAGGGAGTGAATTCTCCCCCAGTTGGTAGGTCGTATATTCTGAACGTCGTTCTCCTAGCTGGTCAGGAAAGTGGACAGGCATCCGTACAGTTTTCCCCTGTGTTTGTAGGATCGTGTAGCCGAAAGGAGTTCCACGAGTTCAACAACCATGTACCACTGCCTGTGTTTGGGAGACAAAATGGCACGTGCGTCCGGTTATACGAATGGTGGCCACCCAGGGAAAGCACTGGAGTTAATTGCATGTTCACGGTTAACATGGAGGTCGGTGTTGGGGGAGATATAAAATCATCATCCATTCGGGAAACGAACAAGGGGGGTATGGACAACCGAACTGAGAGGGAGTTTGCTACAATTGCTTCAATGTTTTTCTATGGGGATTTTACTGATGCTGGATGTCCTCATGCATAGTGTGAGGATGTCTAGCATCAGTTAGGCGACCACAAGTCAGTTAGTAATCAGGAAGTGCCTCTAGTGGCTGTCTGACAAGCACTAGAGGCAACCTTAATCCTGCAATGTAATTATTGCATATTCTAAAAAAACTGCAATGATTTACATTGCAGGACTAAGTGGGACTGGGACACTGCACCCAGACCACTTCAATGGGATGAAGTGGTCTGGGTCAGGGACGTGTCTTACACGAGGCAAACAAGGCATTTGCCTTGGGCGACAATTTCCATGGGGCGGCAAAAAACGCAGTCCCCAAATGCCTAGTCAAATACCTTGTTTGCCTCGTTTTATAGGAGCCCAAGAGCTGGCAGGCTGGCCACTTTTGGGCTCCCCGGGGCAGCAGGCATTTGTTTCGCAGGCAAGCGGGCAGGCAGCCACACTAAGCTGTCAGCAAAGGGGGTGAGCAGAGAGCTCAGGGGAAAGTGCTCCCTCGCTGAAAACTGCACGTCCGTCTGCCTGCCTTCCTGCCCAGCAGCCCCACTGGACCCCAGGTGAAAAATACACCCAGCTATCCCAAATGTAGGGAGGTTGGGTGGATTTACATTTTTAAAAAAAAGTATCAATAATAATTGTGAGTGTGGTGAAATGTGTGTGTCAGTGAATGTGAGTGAGTGTGTTTCAGTGAATGTGAGTGAGTGTGTGTCAGTAAATGTGAGTGAATGTGTGTGTCTGTCAGTAAGTGTGTGTCTGTCAGTGAATGTGTATGGGTCGGTCAGTGAGTGCGTGCGTCTGTCAGTGAGTGCGTGCCTCTGTCAGTGAGTATGTGCGCCTGTCAGTGAGAGTGTCAGTCAGTGTGTGTCCGAGTAAGTGTATGTCTGTCTATCAGTGTGTCAAATCAGTGAGTGTGTGTATGTCATTGTTTGTCAGTGTTTATGAGAGTGTGTGTCTGTCAATGAGTGTATGCATCTATCAGTGAGTGTGCTTCTGTCAGTGAGTGAGCATCTGTCAGTCAAAGTGCGGCCTTGACAGGAAGGGGTGAAGAAAATTTAACTTAGGGGGGGTGCCCGAGCACCGTCCTGCCTAGGGAGGCACAAATCCTAAATACACCACTGGTCTGGGTGACTATAGTGTAAATTTTAATTTAGTCCCAAATAGGTTAGCTGGGTTATTGGGTTTAAAATAAGACATACAATGAGCTGACTTTAATATTTTCATTGTTAATATGTGTTAGAATTTGAGACTGAGTTAATAATAGCGCTGCAATTTAATTATTATGATCTTGATTTCAAGAAGAGTTGCTCTTGGTCTTTCCATCTCTGTTAAGGGGATAAAGAGCTAGCAGAAACACACTTTGTATAAATCTCTTAATAAAACACTGTATTTTCTAAAATTGCTTGGTGTTTGTATTGAGATTAAATAATTTACACAATTTCTGCAGAACATTATCTTTTTTTTACAGTCATTATTTTTGGAACCAGTGGCATTAACAAAGAGTACACTTTCATTTCAGTTTGGTATATATTATTATTATACTATATTATATATTAATATATACTATATTATATATCAATATATACTATATTTTATATAGTATAGTTATACAAGAGTGAACATCTCATGATTTGTTTTGTTAAACTTGTGGATTGTGTTAAAGAGTTAATCCATCATTTAAACACATATTAATTTGTATAGGCAAATGTAAAAGAAATTATTATTGGATTCCAATTTTATCATGGCCTAATGTATGTTCTATAAAGCATTTCATGGTACACTACTGTGATAAAATTTACCTTTTTCTCAATATAACACATATTTAAGGGATTAAATTCATCTACAATTAAGGCAGTTTGCAAGCTCTCTGAACTCTGGGTCCAGAGTTTGAGCACATTGCTCAAAGTTGATGGGCTGGAGTGGTAGGTAAAATAAAGGATTTAAGCTATACTTAACTAAAGTTATTGTTGCTTTGAGATTGTGGTTGGCTGAATCCTTAAAAAAGCTTTTTTTTTTACCTAACTCCCAACTAACTTAAAATACAACATATGTCTAAGTGGTACAGATTAATATGTTTCCCACATCTGCATTTGACTAATGCAACCAGTTTAATAAGTCACAAAACTCCAGATGAACTGAGACAATAAAAAAGAGAATCAGTGTCTATTTGGAAAGATTTTAAGCAATCAAAGCCAGTTCATAATTTTCTTTCCAAAATCCATTAAAATGCTGCATGTGAAGGAAACTCTGAGAAGTCATTGACAACCAATATGCCTCACCTTATTTTTTTTTATTGCACGCTCTAATTTTATAGATTTTGTGAACTTCTTCCCTTCCTACTACTGACTACTAAGTGCATTAAAGAAACATAAAATCCACTAAAGACTATGCATCATCTGATGCGACACTATGTTAATTGGAAGTAGTATCAGGCTACAACATATTTGGTATATTTTAACACCATATGGGAATCTGGGATACAGATTAAACAAGTGACTTATTCTGCAAATGTAATCCATCCAAATATAAGACATGAAGATTCATTTGGCGCAAACTACAATTCGGACGAATTCTGGCCTATCAGGCGTTCGGCCAAAATTCTGATTTGTGACCTTACGTGCCAGAATCCTGGGGGAATTGAAGCACACAATTTGCTTGGTTTGCAATGCCATTACTGATATCAGATGAAATAGGGGGTGAAGTGGAGAAGAGAATTCTTATTTGGTGGGGGCAAGTAAGCAACTTTGTTTGCCATGATGGACCAGTGGTGCAACACTTGATCATGTGAGCTGCATCTCCTGTCCAACTAAGAGCTAGAAAAAAAAATGATTGGTGGCTAGGGGACAGTCTCTAAATGTTAATTTTATTCACAGTGGCAACTGACCAATAGTGGTAAAACGTATGAGCATTAATACAATATATACTTTCAGGCAGGTTTCTTCCAGACACTTTGACTGCAGCTACTGAGGGAGACAGACCAGCAGTGATACTGTGTATTTTACCCTTTCTGTGCCCATGTGGGAGATAGCCTGGGTCATCCTCAGTCGGTATAACATTTCCAGGCTCCCTGGCGTTCTTTTAAATGCCTGACTACTTTTGGGTGTGTTCTTCCATTCTTTGGAATGCATCATGCGTTCCTACCAGTGCTGCCAGGACCTCCACTTGCGTCACTGAAAGGCATGACATGTGGCTTAATGGGCTTGGATACATATAATGAAACACATTATGCATTCCACAGGGTTGGATTTTATTATTATTTATAAAGCGCCAACAAGTTCCGTAGCTCTGTACAATGGGTGGACTAACAGACACATATTTGTAACCAGACAAATTTGACGCACAGGAACAGAGGGATTGAGGGCCCTGCTCAATGAGCTTACATGCTAGAGGGAGTGGGGTATAGTAACACAAAAGGTAAGTGTAGGAAAGGAAAGTAGGTTGCTAGTATAGTATTCATTGAGGGCTTTGTGTCCCATCCCTCTCAGTTGGAATTCATCTGCATATATATATATACAATCAAACAATCAACATCCTTAAAAACGTTCTGTAAACATTTCTAAAATGGTACTGTGAGGAAAAACACAATTTCTTTCAGAAAATGTATGGCTATGCCTAAAATAAAAACTAAGCACATTCTATATCTTGGTTATAAAACTAAAAGAAGTGTCTGGAGGAAACCTTTGGGGCCAAACCATTTCGAAAAAGGTTTAACCCCTTCAGGCAAGTGCCCAGAGACCTCCTTGGAACCCTAACAAGTTAATTTTTATATTTTGATCCAGATATACATAATAATCTAATTTGCAAAAATGACTGATATTGTAAAGCAATTTAAACAGGCAATATTGTAGTCAGCTTTGCATTTAAGCACAGTTTAGCTGCCAGGATGGCCTTCCTGAATTATTTACAGTTACAAAATTGGACCATGAATTAAATTATTCTGACCTAAAAAAACAACATTTTGCTACATAATTTTGATCAGTTTGCAGAAGATAAAGAATACTTTATGTTTGAGAATTTAGCTGTTTACAATTTGGGAGGAATCTATAATTCGAACCCTGGAGA